GCCCCCGGCCCTGGCCCGCGCCCGCCCAGCCCTCCCGAGCGCCCGGGGCAGGGAGCGCGATTTACCTACGGAATCTATGTCCAGGAGTCGCTGCAGGTCCCGGATGCTCTGGATGTGACTGTGCGCCAGCCGCTCGATCACCTCGCGGGGGATCTCCGCTTCCTGCAAGCCGAGGCACACGGTCAGCGCGGCGTGCCAGGGCCCGAGAGCCAGGCGTGGGTCCTCTGCCGCCGGGAGCCGGCCGCAGCCCCGCGGTGGTCACCCACGCGGACACTCACTCTGCAGTCGGACCGCCGGACCCCCTGCCCAGGCACTGCAGCTGGAGGACGGGGCTGGGGTCAGGCACGACCCCGGGTTCTCCCCTCCCAGATCCGCTCTTGGGGGTGGGGGTGCTTTTAAAATTTTAAACCAAAGCCCCCCCTGTACTCGGGCCCCTCCGCCCCCGGTGTCAGTTACAGGAGGTCTAGGGACAGCCCGGGGCCGGGGAGTTTCTGGTTTAACAGTGAAATCACCATCCAGAAAGATCAAGTTGAAATGCGTCACGGATCAGCAGCTGAAGTCACGGCAGCCCCAACACTTTAATCAAGCCGGGGGCTGACATTTCACGCCCCGGAATCCCGGCCCAACTCGGAGGCGAGGGTCTCGGGCTCCCACACAGCACACCCGCCCCACCCCGGCTCCAGCCCCGCAGCGGCCCTAGCGCCGCCTGAGACGCCCCAAATCCAGCCGGCGCTGGGCGAAGCTGCCCGGGAGCTTGGGGGTTAAACGTCTACCTCTCAGCACACTCCCCCCCCTCGTCCCTGCCCAGCCAGCCCCCACCACCTGGCTTCCCCACTCCTTACCCAGTTTTACAGGGAGCCGGGGGGCGCTGGGGACTCGGGCACCAAGTCCCCACCACGGGGGCTGGAGAAAGCCATCCACCACACCCGAGCTCCCGGGGAGTCGGATTCTAGGGGGTGGGGACGCGGGAGGCGGGAGGGCGCGGGCGCCTGGCCCGGCCAGCTCAGCCACCTGTAAGCAGGCCCCGGGCGGGGGACTGCACCGGCCCGCCCAGTCGGAGCTGCGGCTCCGCAGTGCCCACCCTGCCCAGCCGGGGGCTGCTGCCTCCGCCGCCCCTACCTGTTCGCGGGCGGCCGCCTCCCCTCCCGGGCTCCGCTGGCTCACGCCCCCCGCCCGGGTCGCCGCAGACCGCGGCCTCCTGGCCGCCGCGCCCCAGCCACCACTCCCTGCGTGGAGCCCGCGCCCCCCGAAGTTTCTCCTCGCTCCTCCGCCCCGTGCGCCCCCAGTCCCTGCACGGCCGAACGACGCAACGCGTCGGGAACTCACCAGGCACACTTAGGCATGGCAGAAATAGAACCCAGTTGGGCAAATGAAAAAATCGACCGCCCCAGTCGCGAGCAAAATGCGCGCTGCAGAGCCCCGAGCGCCCTGCCGGTGGGGGGCGTGCGCCCGGGGCGCCGCGGCGCGGGTGGCACCCACCTCGGCCAGGGCATGGGCGAGGTATCCGCAGCCGAGCAGCAGCAGGCAAGCCCAGGTCCTCATCGCGGCCCGAGGCGCGGGGGGCTCGGCGGGGAGGCGAGGCCGCGGGGCGGGCGCTGCAGCCGGGCTCCTGTGGCGGCGAGAGGCAGGACCATCCCT